ACCCATACCCCTGTTGGAAACTGATGGTAATCTATCAAAAATATTAAAAATAATTGCTTTAATTATTTTCTCAAAAATCAGGAGGATTTGGGTAACGATTTTTTTCTTTTGCTCTTCTTCACACAAAACAGCTCCCTAACATCATTTTTAAAATTTCAGAAGAAAAATAAATATGAGGCGGAAAGTTTTCACTCTTTTTACATAAAAACACACAAATACAAAACAGCAACATGGTATTTAAGTCGCTATTGTTGGCCATAAATTGATTTGATCTGGGGACACGTAAAAAGATTTTCCTGCACAGCCTCAACACCGCCATCTACCGGAGAGACGAAGAACTGCAACGAGAGAAAGGAGGAGTCTGAGCGGATTGAACTGTTGTCATCAGGAACATTTTCCACAGATCTTGATTCTGAAGCTGTGTGAAAACTAAAATATTATATGTTTCTGCCACCATTTTTTCTAATAAATGAGATTATATCCTAAATAAACTGTGTGAACATGTTTAAATTGATGGTCAACCCTTTGCTGTGAACAGAGTCATGTGTAATGGCTAAACTATAAGCATTGCTTTTTTATTTTTAGGGCTTAAGAATTGTTTTTAGTCAAGTCAAAACAAGATTTTTAAATTAAATTCCTCTTGAAGTTATCTAGCTAGAATAAAAGTTTTATTTTATTTGTTGGTGTTAGTTTTTCGACTTTTCTGTTCAAAAAATGATTTTATTTCAGTCATAAAATCCTCTGACAAACTCACACTGATTCAGACAGAAGAACTGAAAACATTTTTCTGTACTGAAAACAACAAACCAAAATAAAACAGTTTGGTAGTTTTTTGGTTGATGTTTTTGTTTTTGTTTGTTTGCCTGAAATCAACTGTCAGTGTTTGTTCTTCAGCATGTTTGTAGGAATTTCTAATGAAATCAGACCAAAGAAAAGTGTCTCTGCTCGGTTTATGTGAGACATCAGAATCAGAATCAGATACTTTAATGATCCCCGGGAGAAATTGCAATTACAACTGAAACCGTTCAAGTAAGCATTAGAGACAAAGAATAAAGGAAGAATATCAGAGCACACAATTAAGAAATAAGTATAAAAACTCCAGAGAACCAAATGAACACAGAACAACATGAAGCTCGATTAATGAGCTTTGAAATAACATATTTTGTGCATTTCAGCTCGTCAGAGAAAACAATGCATTACATGCTCATCAAATATGCACACTGATGAAATTTTTATTACAATTTCAACATCAACGTTCAAATAAGCTTTATCTGAATACAACTGCAGCTAATACAAACAATTTGAAACCGTCTGTGTGTAAAAATCAGTGTTTGATGAATTGTGTCTTATTTTAATAATTTAAACGCTCATTTGTTCTACTTTATAGTTTGAATATTTCTGATTATTTAAAAGTTAAATCAAGATAAAGCTAACACTTTAAAATTGTTCTAAGCTGCAGAAAGTTTGCTTTTACATGTTGCAGAGTTAATTTCTGGTGTATAAAGGCTTTTTCTGTCTACAATTACCAGCATTGCACTTTAAACTGTACAGTATTTACCCTCATTAGCATGTTTTTTTGTAAAAAAAAATGATTATATAGAAAATGTGTAGCTATTTTTCAACCACATTATATTTTTGTTGCATAAGAAAACTTGTGATAGTTTTTCGTTTAGCTTCTATGAATAACTGTCATCATTTTAACCTCATTAGTCAGAATCTGCTCCGAGGATCTAATTTTGAATAAACCGAAGCTTTTTAGGCATCAAACCTTCAGATAAAACACGTGGATGAATGTTATGTTAGAACAAATGATGTAATGTTGTCAGTGATAAAGGATGTATGGGATCATGCTTATTTATCTGTTTTTATCCTTCCCTTTAAGGTGAGCAGATAATGATATTTGTGCTCAGTGTTTGTCTGATTCTGCAGGTTAAAAGTTACATTTACAATAATTTGCATTGTTTGATGCAACATCCGTGATGTGTCTCAGACATCCAGGTCGCCGCTCCCAGAGCTATAAGCACATTTGGATTTTCTTCATGAAATATACATATGTGTGACTGAACTAATCTGTTCAAAGTTTGCCAAGAGCCAAATGTGCATGTTTGGAATCCAAGGGGGCATTCATGGGCTGAAATCCAGCCATTTTCTCACTAACACGTTGTCTCCCAAAGGTTTGGTTTCCTGTGGTGGTCAGAAGTCATTTAGAGTCCATCCTTCCAAAGTCCCCAAGCTGGGCTCAGATGAAACTGGGCCAGTCTGAGTCCATCTGTTGGGCTTTCATTCCTCTTTATTAAAACAAACATGTATTTCTAATTGTTAATGTTTGCAAACTGCATCTACTCATTTTAACCAGCTGTATGATGTTTTTGTTGTTGTTGGGTTGTGGGTTTTTTGTGCTTAATTTACTTATTTTTCACTTTTTCGTTGTTCCCAAAAAGAAACAGGACAACATAAAAGCATAAAATCTAACTTTTCTTTGTATGACTTTTTATGGCAGTGAAAAATCAGCAACGTAGTAATAACACAACCTGTGTCTATAGACAGGTTCACTGAGGTTAACTAATCTAAATCATGTTAGATTAATAACCAATTAGACTTCTGTGCAAAAGTTTTAAACCACACCAAATGTCTTTATGATATATTTTGAATCAACCAGACGTTCTTGCAAGCTTTTGAAGTTATTTTGATTAATGTTTAAATAAGTCCATTTAGGCTTTTGTGCTGACCACCATACAATACATCTATAATCCGTAGATTATATTAAAGATGCTGTATTATTTCACAAAATTAATCAGAACTTGTCTTTAAGTGCTCTGTGTTTATTCTTACATTTATAGTCGGGTAAAACTTGTTTACAAGAATCAAAAAACAGATATTTTTATACTGAAATCAATTGTTTCCATTTAAAAGCAGCCTTTTGTTGCATTGTGCGTATTGTTGTTTGTCTTTGTTATTTAATTTGTCTTCTAGGAGAAAACAAAATCACTTCCACATGCAAGCGTGGTGGTACTGAGAGGAGAACCATGTTGCAAATTTATAATTCATACTTCCTCAGAGTTAATGCAGTATTCACATGATAATTAGAATGAATTTTTGATTTGGTGCCTCAGGGCAGTGGTGCATTGTTGGGCTGCTCCATTATTACCTTATTAGTGTAACTGTCAGTCGCCTGTTTTATTCGACAAATACGCAGCTTGTATTTGTTATCAACGCCTCTCATCAGCATCTTGTTGCTTTTCAGCACCTTTAACAGACGACTGTGTCACTTAAATGTGCGAGGAAGCGTTTATGCCTCAATCAGTCAAAACAAAATTATCACTTAATTTGTGATGTCTCCCTTTAAACAGCCGGATGCACAAAAACATGAATCCATGTAAAACAAAGGTTTTGTTTTATAATATTTCATAATTAGCAGATTAGTTTTGAGGATTACAGTTTAATTTTGTTTTAAGAATGTTGTATTTTTGTTCACTAGCTTATTTTTAAGAAAATGCAATCCAATTCAAGAGCAAATAATTATTTTTTTTTTATCTCACAAGTTAAATATAAATTTTTACCATTTGGAAAAAAGGTTTGCTTAAAATTATGCATTTTGTCTTTATGAACAATGCAGTAATTAGGAAACATTTTACAATATGAGTCATAAAGCTGACTTCATTCAATTAAATTCAATTTAAATAGAGCTAATTCACAACAAAAGTCATCTCAGGACACAGCAAAAATATTTGTATACCTTATAAAACGCCAAATAATAAAAAATCTACCATTCGAGTAAGCCAGAAGATCGCATCAAATCTTCTCTTCATTTCTGTCTCGCAGCCTGAGCAGCACGATGGTGACAGTGGAGAGGCAAATCTCCCTTTCAACAGGAAGAAACCTCCAGCAGAACCAGAACCAGGATCAGGAAGGGCAGCCTTCTGCTCTGGAGTCAGAGAGGAAGAAACAGAATATCTGTTCCAGGTGTCATTTCTCTGGGAAGAAAGTCAAAAAGCATGTCAGTGATAGAAAGAATTACAAATAAAAAGATGGAGAACAGAGCCAGGAAACACAGCAGCAGCGTTCTCATCGGAATTCCTTCAGCAACATTTTGGATCAGTTGAAAACGTTTTAAAGAGTTTTTTAAAGACTAATGTAATAAAGAATGACAACAGTCCAGCCTGGAGGTGATAAATAAAAGGATTAGTTTGTCTGCATCAGTTTGGGACGAGATGTTTGTAATTTTAGTGATAACGTTCAGATGGGAGAAATCACTTTTAACAAGCAGAAGTTAAATGATAATTTTTACTTGATAACTCGTTCAAATCCTACTTAGGCATCCTGAAGGAAATTTTGTAACTG